GGTCTCCTGGGCTTTTCTTCCGGCTTCGACGAACGGAAAAGTTCTCTTTTCTGTGAAAACCTGTAAAACAAACCACGGAGTCGGAATTTGCGCTACGAATGCCAGGGTGACTTACCTCTCTGGACCCCAGAATTTTGGGCTCTCGGAACACTTCTCATTCGCGAGTAAGTCAAACATGTTAGGTAACCAGTTCTTTTGGAACCGGCGGGAGATTTGTTGAACCTGCATTAACATTAACATGATCAACTCTTTGACAGTATGGTAGCTTCTATGTACCTCTATATCGTCGTGCCGTGTCAGCTCGAATATTGATTTTACAAAACTGCATGCAATCAAGTAAAGTATTGTCCAGTAAAGAAACATTTTTTTTACCTTTCCATGCCGTTCCTTGGTGGTGTTGACGTCATGTGCTTGCTTTTCAAAACCGTCTTCTCAGCAAGTGCCTCGAGAACCTTTGAAGGGCATTGAAGTATAAATATCTCCTTAATCATACAGGGATTATCCAGCTCACCTTCATCAACTTCCGAAGAATTGGAATCTTTGTGTAGCTTTTCCGGCTCTGCTTCACCAGATTGTGAAGTAGCTGAAGTCCTGTTTAGAAAAAAAGAAAGTGGGAAAGAGATGACTATCAAACTAAGCTTACCGTTCTTTTGAATAACTTCCGTTAGAATGCTACGGGATGTCGTCTTGAGCATCGCATCCAAAAGCAGTGAAAGATCCCGCATACTACATGTCCCGAATGTATAAAGGTGTCATTTAAACAAAAGGAAAACCTCTACCTGCAAGATGTCCCCTCTTTCGATTCGTCCCCGGACGCGGTTGATATGACCAAAAGTTTCAAGTACTGTTTCGGAGTTTCCTACAGAACCAGTTACACTTGTCAAACAACTGGCCAAAAACAAACGTGGCAAATTACCTTTTTCTTTACGAGTCCCCCTTTATCGTTAAGCAGCTTATCAAGTTTATCCTCAACTGCATAAGCGAAGTTTGTGAAACGGAAGAAACCGACAGACATTACTTACCTTCGCTGTAACGCGATGGTCTGTACCCCTCAGATTTGTTCGACGAAAAGAAGCCTTTGAATGGCACCTTCTTCGGTCGGCCAGAAGGTTTTGGTCGCTTCACTTTAGCCAGAGGCTTCGGCTTGGGTATCGGAATCTCTTTTACCAGTAGTTCGGGCTTCGGCTCCTCAAACAATGCTTCAGGCGGTGTACAAGACTTTGGTGTTTCTTGTACAACCTCAGTATCAACGATGTCCTCGTCTTCACTCTCATCATCTTTCAGCATAATCGGCTCTAGATCTTCCTCAGAGTCAGTCTGTACAACGTCCCTAGGATTTGAAGGATCTCCACCAATATAGCCACGACAATGAGCAGATCCACAGTGACATTTCTTGGCGGCTGCCCCATAAAGTCGTTCAAAGTTGTAATTGAATGTAATCTCTTCATTCTAAATCACCGGAAAACAAAGCGAAAGGAAGTTATTCAAGCACATAATCGGCTTTGTAAATAATACCTTCGCAACGTCCCTAATAGCAAACAGACCAATGCATATTTCTCCGTTCACACACCACTGAATAAAGAAAAAAGAAAACCTTTAGCAGTCGAATGGAATGCTTGTAAGTTCCTTACCTTTTCAGTCTGACAATTGGGTTCACAACTGTGATTGATAAATCGTCCAAGATTACCTTTCCTGCATGCGTCAATCACCTGCAAAAGAAAATATTGGAACAGATTTAGAAGCCGTCTAAACCATCAAACCCTTACTTCACTACTATTAAGTGTCATGAAATAGAAATGCTTTTGTCTCTGACGAGCGTACTCCTTCTGACGCAGTTCAAATGATCGACTGTCTAGTACCTGGAGATGCACCGAGTGAGAAAATTAAGCGCAAACAAGAAAATAAAAAGCAAACCTCTCCAACGTATTCAATCACGAAAGAGCCCTTCGCAATGTTTTCCAGCGCTTTCAATCCAAAGCCTTTCTTGCCACACCTGACAAGAGCGACATTGGAATACTCCCTTTTGCCAAACTAAACAAGAGAGGAAGTAAAATCGCATCAGTTTGTACCTTTAGCAACAAAACTCACCTGCTGGTTTGAACAACGCTCTCCGCAAGGGCATGTATCCGGTGAGCACTCCACGTTCACCATTCGGTTTAAACAGTCTTCTCCACACCCAGGACTACCATCTTTTGGTGGCTTGCAAAGGCATATTAACGTCTGAAAAAACACAAGACTCTCGTAAACAAGTAGAATATCAAACCAAGAGCATACGTCATCGTCGTCAAGAGTCTTTTGGTGGCGGTGCTGAAAGATGTTATGACGAATCTGTGTCCATGAAACTGCAAAGAGCACACATCATTTCCCAGTGGAGCCAAATCATGTCATACCTCCACATTTAGAGTTAACAGCGGGTTCATTATCGTCGCACTCGGAAGAAGATATTTCCGAGATGTTTAGTTCCGCGTTGATCTCAGCATTGCTTTTCTCTTGAGGCACAGAACAGTCGGAAAACTTCCTGTTCGGATTTTCTCGGCAAGTCCTGGAAAAACAACAACATAGACAATAAGGGAAGAGAAAGATAAACGAGGAAAACTTACCAGCGAATATCAGATGATTCGATAGAATCAGCAAGCTCGGCAGAAATGCATCGCCATTTCCGGCAATCGTCGCACATAACCCAGCCAACTGCAGAGGGCTTCACTTTCGTCAAAACAGGAGCATCGGCCTTGTTACTCGTTCTCGTCGTCTCTCCTTCGGTGACTCCACTTGAGACATCCTCGCCACCATGACCACTGTCCGCATCATTCGCGGCTGTGAGCTTTAGCTTGACACTACCATCTCCCGCTGAGATCTTTAGCTGACTTAACCCGTGGCTTCTACTTCCTGTAGATCCAGACTTCTTCTGGCTGGCTTTTGGAGCATCGACCACTTTCCCCGGCTTGCTGCTCCATCCCGAGCGCAAGCCTCTGCTTACACTCCTTTTGCCGGTTCTCCTGATAACAACGCTGGTAGAAGAACCATTGGAGGAACCATTCTTCACGGAACCATTCGAGCCATTCTTCCCGGAAACGCTAGCCCCATTCTTCACTGGAGCTGCAGTAGGAGCATTGGTAGTAGTCTCCCCTCCAGAGATGACAGCGAACGCCATCCGGAGAGACGCCTTGCTCCTTGTGATGCGCATTGGCGTGTAGCTGTGCTCCAGAAAACTGGGAGACAGCGTGAGCTCATCACAAACCCCATTGCAGGAATTCGAAGTGGCGCCCTGCGAATCAAGCTCCGTGGCCATGCCGCTCGATTCCTGGAACCCTATTCCACCGGCATTGAGGCAGGAATCCGTGGCGAGAATCCTTCCCCCGCGACGATCAAACCCTAGGCGCGTCGCGAAACCCCTACCTCGCGCGCAAAACCTTCATCCTTGCCACGGGCGTCCAGGATGGATGCTACAAACGAACCTCACAAGGCGCTAGAGGAGCCGCTCGCCAGCGCCCGCCATCGTCGTAGGGGAAGACGAGACTCCATCCCCCACTGCGGATATTCCCCTGGCATCTAGCAATAAAAGGGGTGTCGGTTAAATTTTTAAAGGGAAGGTTAAGTCCAAGTTAGGACGAGGCGCTACACGTAGTCGTAATCCAGCTCTCTCACCACGTCCTTGAAATTGAAATCTTCGCTGTTGTGCGTGAATGCCTTGACGAGGAGGTATCGATCGTCGCGGATGTAGAAAGAATGGGCGTATTTCAGCAGTGAATTCCCCTGGAAGAACACAGAAACAATGAAAACTTTGATGATTCTCGAGAGGGCGAAATCACGAACCTCGTCGTCGCTAAGCTGGCTGGGGAAGACAATGTCGCCGCGAACTAGAACGATGCCTTTGGAGTCCGCAAAGTCGGTGTAGTGAGCTATGGTGAGATATGGAGCAGCGTTGGAGCCTTTAAGCTTGTAGTCTTCGAGCGAAGTGAGGAGGAGGAATGGCATCTGAGCTGAAAAAGAAATCCACTGAGAACTTCTCCACCAAGAACACCATCAAGAGAAAAGAAGATTGAAAGATTTTTACCTTGGAGGAAGAAGCTGATGTAGCCTTTGGGCTTTCTTAGCGGCAGCACAAAGTTGGGACTAAATGCGAGCGAAGATCAGTTCCAAAGCATCCACACAAAGATAAGCCCTCACCATTCTCTGGCGCGCTCCTGGAATCTCTTGAAAAAATCGGTGCTCATCACGGCACTTACATGCCCTCGGCCAATGTGATACTGCAAAAACAAGGAAGAACAAACGAATCGCGCTAGCTCCGCTAGCTCGCCACGAAAGAGCTACAATGCGTACCTGATTCCAGATGAAAGTGAGCTCATCCGCCGATTTGTTCTTGACACTCTCCACCTTGAGAATGGAATTCAGAGATTTTGGAGTGATGAGAGTGTAGCCTGGCGCAAACTGCGAGAAATCCCTCCTCCACAGCGCGCGCCATGACGCCATCCTCCACATTTGAGAGCCCTAGAACGCAACTGCCACACATTTTCAAATAGCGCCTAGAACCCTAAAAGAGTGTAAAGAAAGCTGAGCTGGCGCTACCTTCCTAGCTGGCTTCTTTCTCCCTGCCACGTGCCAATGACATGGCCTTCCTCCCGGCCTCGGCATACACACTGGACATGAGAATGTAGGGCGCGGACTCCTCCTGGCTGGCATCCATCGCCACCGCCATGTCAGCAGCCCTCGCGGCCCTCACCACGTCACCATGGATCCTACACGCTCCTAACAAGATGGTCCACACCACGGGGTACGGAACGCACGGCATTGTGTCGATAAGCTCCTCGGCCTCCTTCAGCTGCTTTGCGCGGCCCAAAATGTCCACCATGCAGCAGTAGTGGTCAACAATGGGGGCCAGTCCGTACGCGTCTTGCATGGCCAGGAAATGGGACCGGCTCTCCTCGAGCATGCCGACGTGGCTACACCCGGTCAAGATCCCCACAAAGGTCAACTCGTTGGGTCTATGGCCGTCCAAGACCATCAAATGGGAGAGCTCCAGCACACTCTCCCATTGGCCATTCGCGGCACACGATTGGATCATAGTGTTCCACGAGATGGAATCTTTCCCTTGCAAGTCGTCAAACATGGCCCGGGCCTGGTGGACATTCCCCGCCTGGACGTACGCGTGAATCATAGCCGTCCACGACACGATATTCCGCTCGGGCATCTCCTCGAACATTCCCTTGGCGTCCTGGAATCTGCCGTACTGCGCGTGGGTGGCCATCGTACACGTCCACGACACCACGTCCCACGCGGGCATCTTCTCGTGTACCATTTGGGCACCCGGTGCGCTACCCGACTGAGAATATGCCTGGATCACCAGATTCCAGGCAACGATGTCTCGCTGGGGCATTGCGTGGAAGATCCTCCTAGTATCTTCCAGATTCCCAGTGTTGGCATATGCCTGGAGCATCGCATTGTGTGCTGCTCCATCCCTCACTGGCACCAACTCAAACAATCTACTGGCAGTGTCAAGGACTCCCGCCTGGGAATATGCTTGGAGCAAGGCCACCCAGGACAGTACGTCCTTTCTAGGCATGGAATCAAAGTAATGCTTGGATCTATCCGGGCTCCCAGTCCGTCCATATGCCTGGATGATTGCGGTCCACGAAATGGCATCTCGATCGGGCATGTCCGAGAATATTCGCGTCGCCCGTTCGACTTGGCCGCCGAGGGCATGAGCCTGCGCGATAGCGTTCCACGACACCAGATCCCGCTGTGGCATCTTCTCAAACAAGGAGCGAGATTCCTCCAGATGCCCAGCCAGGGCATATGCTGAGAGCAAAGCCGTCCACGAAAGCACGTCCCTTTGCTTCATATCATTGAAAGCCTGGAGAGCCAGTGTAGTGTCGCCGGCCATTGTGTAGACTTTAATCATAGCGTTCCAGGACACAACGCTGTGGTGTGGCATTCGATCAAAGGCATCTTTAGCACTTTTGTAATGCCCGGCCTGGGCATATGCTTGACCCATGGCGTTCATGGAGATTATGTCCCTCTCGGGCATGCTATCGTACATAGATTTGGCCAGGACGGCATCGCCATTCTGCCCGTACAGATTTAGCAGCGAGTTCCACGACACCACGTCCCTCTGCGGCATTCCCTCAAAGACTCTTATAGCATCTTCCAGATGCCCAGTCGCGGTATATGCCGCGAGAATCGCGTTCCACGATACCACGTCCCTCTTGGGCATGGAATCGAAGCACCCCGCCACGTCTGCGAACCCACCGCATTGGATGTACGCGCCCAGGATAAGATTCCAGGAATATACATTGGGATCGACGATGGCATCGAATGTGGATCGCGCGTTCTCCAGGCAGCCGCATTTGCCGTACATGTCCACGAGGAGATTCCCGAGGTATCTGTCATAGTTGTGTGGGCTTGCGAGGATTTGCGAGTGGAGCTTCTTGCCCCTGGAGAGATCCCTGGCCAAAGCACAGCTCTTGAGAGCGCGGGCAAACGCATCCACCTGTGGAGAAAACCTCTGGCTCATCTACAGCATTTACCGGGGCTAAAGCGAATATGCCCGCCTGTCGTGGCGGGAATGTAATGCGCCACGTGGCGTAATTAGCGACGGCCGGGATTTTGTGGAGCTGACAGCAAGAGCTAGGGTTTACGAGGATGCGGGAGGACAATGTAGGAGCTGGAGCTCGCTAGGGAAGTGATGACACGAGCAAGCTCCAATCTCCTGCTGCCGCTGTTGCTACATTGGATCGCTGTTGCGGCGTCGGCGGTGGCGCGCATTGGCGCCGATCCGGACGGTGCGTTTTATCTTCGAATTTTTCGCTGATTTGCTTCTCTCAATCGTTCCCTTCGCAGTCGCTGCATTGCTGCGGCTGAAATACTGCTTTGGGAATGCGTCGAGGTCGCTCTTGAGCTGGGAGGCGTCCAGTAGCCCGTGCTCTTGGCAAGGAGTCAAGTGTAGCAGCAACCAAAGAGTGATGAGCTTGTAAGTTTGTTGTTGTGACGCGGTGAAACCTCTGTTCTATCCTTTTCCATCCTACAGGGAGTTGTCGGGGCACTATTTGTCCGGGACACTGTGTGCTGACGTTGGGAAGCTTTCGTCTCTCTTGCATCTGTGAGTCTTGTCATTCTTTCATTTGGTATTTCTCGTGTACGAGGATTTAGAGCAGTGGATCTTCCTGTGTGTTGTTCTACAGGAATCTTTCCAGAAACGCGTTAGTGGGAGCAATTCCCGCGGAGATAGGAAACCTTGTCAACTTGAAAGTCCTGTATGGTTACAGTGGTCTTCGCTGAGCATGATATTGACCACTTTTTCTTTTCGCAGGGATCTCCACGGCAATAGATTCGATGGACACATTCCCGAAGCAATCACGAAACTGAAGAAGCTAAGAAAACTGTAGGTGTTGTTTCAAGGTTTTATTAGTTTTGCATGGTGCCATTTTGCTTTGATGTCACAGTGATTTATCATACAATCGACTTAGTGGCAATGTTCCCCAGGGGCTCTCAGCTGATTCGTAAGTTTCTGGTTACAAAATTACGTTTTGATGAGTAACATGCTAAACGTGCAGGTTCAAGGGTAATCCCGACCTTTGTACCTCAGAATCTTGTTCAGGTACTCTACCAATCTTTGCCATATGAATTGTCATTTATTCTCGTATGGCTCGCTGTGTTTTCTCTTTTTCTAGGCGTTGAAGCACACTCTTTCAGCACAGCCATGCTGGCGGTTATGGGCTCGGTGCTGGCTCTGCTTTGCTTTCTAGCCATTGTAGGCGTCATAAGGTGGCGAAGACGAACGACAAGATCGTTCACCGAGCTTGCATCAAGAAAACGTATTTATTCGACCTTCTTTCCCGCATGATGCACTCTATAACTTGCCTACAGCGCTCCTTTTTTGCAGTTAGTCATAATGGTGCTTATGAGTGTCCCACGGACTACTCTTTAGACGAGCTCAAGCTAGCGACAGCTGAGTTTGACGAGACAAACATCCTGGGCCAAGGCGCAAGTGGGGTTGTCTATCGAGGAAGATCCAGTGGGGGATACAACGTGGCTGTAAAACAGCTGATAAACGTTGAGTTCAAGGTGATAAAAACATTCTTTGATTTGTCGCCATCTTTTTAACTGGAGTATCTTGTTCATCAGGCTGGTTTCGCGAAGGAAATAGAGATTCTCTCGAGAGCGAGGCATAAAAATGTGGCGGGCCTTTTGGGCTTTTGCAATTCGAGAGACGACAAATTCTTGGTGTCTGAATATGTTCCAGGTCCCAACTTGACCGCATTCCTTTCCGGTGAGAAACTTGAGATTAAATTTCTGGAATCCAGCCTTTCTCCATGTGTCTTGTCAGGGCAGCGTCGCAAAGAGTTTGATTGGGACAAGAGGAAAATAGTGATCCTCGGAGTTGCAAAAGGCCTGGCGTATCTGCACTCGTCAGGCATGGAAATCATTCACGGCTCCTTAAAACCAAGCAACATTCTGATTGACGACGACTTCACGCCAAAGCTAACGGACCATGGCCTCTACAGGCTTCTACAGCAAACGTCGTCGCAAGCACGTGATGTACGCAACGCAGTCTACGATCCACCGGGTGAGAACGAAAGCTCGCGAGTTCTAATCGCGATTTGGATTTGTCTCAGAGGCAAGCACTGGAACTCTAATGAGCTCCAAAGGCGATAGCTATGGATTTGGAGTCTTTCTGATCCAGATGATCACGGGACAGCCACCGTGGTTTCTGTTGGAAACTGTCAGGTCCGCCGGAGTTATGCTAAGAGACTGGGTATGGAAATTCTTCTTCCACTTCCATTTCACTCGATTTTTTCTTCATCTATAGGTGCTGCAAACATGTGAGAGTGGAGAGCTTATCGACGAGGAGCTGAGAAAGTCTCCCGTGTGGGAAGTGAAGAAGATCGCTCAGCTGGCCACCATGTGTACGGAGCTACTCCCGGTGCTGCGGCCGCGAATGGACGAAGTTGTCCAGTTTTTGGTGGAGGAGGTGCTCATCTCCAACAAATCATCCGAGCTCGATGGCCTGTTTATCGAGCTGGTGATGGACACGCTACACGGGGACGCGCAAGCTTCCGCTTCCGCTCGGAGAACCGGCGAGAGCCTCCTTCCAGGAGGATGTACGTCGTGAAGAAGGAAACCAGCAAATGATTATGATCTAGAGAGTTTTCACAGTGATAATAAACGAAGGGCTTTGTAGTGTGCATGGGAAATAGAAGCGTTCTATTAGACTGTGGCGTGTACTCGTCCAGCGCTCAGTATCATCTCGTCTGTCGAGAAATCGGCCTCTTTGCGGAACTTCCCACGTCCAAAATCGAGCTCGTAGGAATCTCTGAGACCATCCACGAGATTAAATCTCGGTGTCCAGTCTAGCTCCTGCTTGGCCTTGTCGATCGACGCAAAGAAATGCTGGAAAAACAAACCATTTCTATGGAAGAGAAGGAAGAAAAATGGAGCTTTTACTTGGTCGCGAAGAGGAAAAGCTTTTTTCTTTCCAAAGTCGAAGTTTTTTGGGTTGTAGTGCACGATCTCCGGGTCCGGGAATCCACCAGCCTGTGTGTGTGTTTGTCAAAAACCTTTCTCGCAAGATTTTTGTCTAGAAAAAAAATATTGTAAACTATACTTTACCTTCGCGCACGCTCGAGCAATCCCATCAAAAGTAACGTACTTGGATCCAGAGATGTTGAAGACCTGATTGAAAGCTTTTGGATTGTCCATCACCTTTACAAACGCATCAGCCAAGTCCTAGATCACATCATTTTCACGTCAAAAGAAGCAAAGGTTGATGAGAACTGGTTACCTTGACATGGCCCAGCTGCGTGATTTGAAGACCAGATCCAGGAACTGGAATTGGTCTCCCTGCTTTGAGGCGATGGAAAAACCACTCTTCCACTGGATTGTAGTTGAGAGGTCCGTATATGTAAACTGGCCTGATTGACGTCCAAGTTACTCCCTTGTCTTGGAGCAAAGATTCAGTGTCAAGTTTTCCTTTGTGCCTGCTTTTCGGATCCACAGCATCCACCTGAGAATTAGCACACAAGCTAAAACAATCTCAAAACCGAAAGGAGCAAACTAAATCACCTCAAAATGTGGAAGAAGGTCTGACTTTAAGTATACTCCAGCTGATGAGCAGTAGATGTACCTGTGAAAAGTGGAAAAATTCACTGGAGAAGTAATTGACTAACTGTGATTCTTACTGCTGGAGATCCGGAAGCGCGTCAACGATGGGTTCCACTTCCGCGGCCTCTCTTCCTGTATGATTATAGTGAAATATAGCTTTATAAACGAAGTTTTTTTTCTCGATACCATTGATATCGTAGACCACCTCAAAACCAGCTTCGCCAATCTTGCTCTTGAGAGCTTCAAAGTCTTGTCGATCCCCTTGAATGTGTTTCACCTAAAAACCAGCCAAAACTTAGCAGAGAAAAGCGTATTAAAAAAATTAGCCAAAGCGTGTACTCGGAGTTGATACTCGGCATAAGCTTCGTTCGATTCGCCAGCGAGCTGCTGCGTAATTGGCGTCTTTCCACGAGTGAAAAGGCTCACCTAGATCCAACAAAAGAGGGAGCGGAGAGACAAGAAAAATTTAAATCACTGCATCGAGAAAGTACCTATTTGTTTTTTCATTCACCTCATGACCGGCCTTGACAAGCGTCCTAGCCAGGTAAACACCGATGAATCGACTCCCTCCCATCATCAAAATCTTTTTAGCCCTTTCCGGAGCCCCCAGAGACGCTTTTGTGTTGACAACACCCTGTGGCCGCCGGCGCCATGGATTTCTACACTGATCATGTACAGGAAGAAAATCTTGCAGGATGATCAATCGTGACAATGTAGTATGTACCTGGTGATTCCCGATTAGCCCATTATGTGTGAAATCCGACACAAACCTTCCCGCCATGGCGACCTACACCTCTTCGCCCAACACACACAGCACGATAGCAAATAGACGACCTCCATTCTTCCACGTAACATAACTTTACTGAAATACTAGCATATTCTAGCATATGTATGTATCAGTATAAAATCTTAGTTTCAAACTTCCTATTCAAAATCACATAGCAACTATTATTTTTTATAAGTTAAAAACAAAAAGAAACATTTTCCACAACAAATACAAACTATAGCACAAAAATAATATAGTTCTAGGTGTTAAAGGTGAATTAACTAGATTATATTTAATAAGTGTTTCCCTATGATAACTATTAATATGATGTAAAAGAACTTCTTTATAAAGAGCTTTAGTATATCTTAGATTAAAATTATCTTTTTAAGTATTTGTATCTACCATCATATAATCATAAATAATTTATAGCAAAACCTTACAAAAGAATTTTCTTAATCAAACTTAATCTATTTCTACTAATTGAATTAATTATACTAAGAATATTAACAAATTTCAATAAACACATTATTATTGTACTTTACTTTTATATCTGCTATAATTGTATATTTAAATCTCAACAATGGATACACCATGAATGTTTAATAGGTATAATTATAGTATAAAGTTAGAAATGTATAATACTTGAAGGTAAATTATCCAGTTTATTCCCATATTAATGCTATTTAAACCAATTTAAAAATGTGTAATTGAGAACTATTTATTCTATATATCTTCTAATGCTCAATATCCCAAAAATTATAACAAATAACACATATGTGTGTGTGTGTGTGTTGAACATAAACTTTTAGTGTCATCTTTTTCTTACTTTTAAGTTTTCTTCATTACCTTCTCTTTCTTTTTCAACTATAAGGAGCTCGTATTTAGAGTTATTATGCTTATTTTAATGTTAAGGAAGGAGGCACTATATTCTATAGGTTTTCATAATTAACATGATTTTTTATTTTTTATAGCTTGAATATATAGGATTTAAGCATAGAATTATAAATCAGGTTTTATATTTTCAATTCAAGTGGCAACCTTAAGAAATTTATAGTGTGAAATTTTTTAATGTTATAAAGTTCTTACCAATAAAATTTATTACATTCTTACCATATTATTTTATTTATCTTATATCTGTGAGTGCATGGATACAACATTCAATTAGTCCAAACACCCTAACTTATATATAAGAGCAAGTGGTCCTAATCTGATACTTACCAAAATCCCACTATCTTAGTAATAATATATGGCACCGTAGTTGTACACTTGGACCTCATAACACCATATTAAAAATTTATATATTTATTATTCCAAAATGCAATGTTTTTTTTTAAACTCTCCAAACTTAAGATTAAAGGAAAAAGAACAACAAACACCAAATTTTCAAGGAGATCATTATTATCAATATAATTATATTCAAAGTAATATAATTTATAAGCTTGGAGGTTATATTTAGATGTCTTTTATTGATTTACTTTATAATCACAAATTTAATTTCCTTACATGAAGTTCCTTTGTTATCAGAAATTTAGACATATTAATTATCACGATGAAATAGTTATAGTGATATATCTTGAGAAATAATAGTTATGGTTTAATAGAATATATATGAGTTTATGTTTTTTGAAAACTAACTTAATCCTTATAGTGATTTCTTTTAAACATCTCATATCGAAGTCATAAATTAAATATTAAATTCTTTTATGCTTAAACATGAAGGTTAAAAAAAACTTATTTATAATAAGTTATTGAAAGCCCAAATAACGTTTTCATTGTAAGAGACATTTAATAAAGGTATTAGTTGTGCTTTGAGACTATAAGAAGATTGAAAATATAGTTTTTATTTGTTGACCATAAGATTTTATTTCCTCCATATATTAGTAAGTTGCAATCAATATCTAATAGCACATGCTAGGAATAAACATAAATTTCTTCTCCTGTAACCAAGAACGTGATGGCAGTGCAAATGTCAAACATCAAACTTGCAATCCAAGACTACACAGTTGTCAAATCCTTCCAATATCTAAACCACAAGGGCTTGATTTGGCTCTCTCTAGATCAATCGCTCCATGGCAATCCGAATCACCATGCTCGTTCTTCTCGTGATGCTCGATTTTTCTTCCACCACCGCTGAATCCGAGTTAGTAGTAGGGAAGTTTTATGGCTTCGGCATGAGCAGCAGGGACTCACAGCTCGATGCCAATGCCAACGCTGGAATGGCTCCGGAAATCCTGACATCACCCGGCGGATCCTACTCCCTCATCTTCTGGGCGTTTTTTGGATCTGGGGCGCAGCTCCGGATCGTCATGCAATCCGGGTTCGTGAAATGGAGCTCTCCCTGCGAGACAATCCAGCGCAATCGTAGCGCATCAACCTACTCCGACAGCTACTCCTCCGGCTACAACTATGGATTTAACTTCAATTTCACGGACCAGGGCGAGCTCCAGGTTCTAGTCTCCGGATTCGTGCGCTGGAGCACGAACACATCCGGGAGAGGCGTGGTGAGAGCGGCGCTCCAGGGCACCCCCGCGAATCTAGTGCTGCTCGATGCTACAAACGCTTCGATCTGGCAGAGCAGGGATCACAAAACTGCTGCTCTCTGCCCTGTGATTCCAGAACCGCTGCAATCATCCGCTGCCGCCAATGCCGGTTTTCCCGCAATCATGTACGTTAGTTTAGGGCTCTTGGTCAAAATATCAATAGGGCTCATATGAATCGCAAATATCTTTGGCATATCTCGTTTGATGAAATCCATCGCTTTCGGCTTCTGCCTTCCAATCAAAATTGGTTATAGAAGGCATGTTTGCAGCACACCACGTCATAACAAGAATCTACGATTTCCCGGGCAGCAGTTTGTGGATGGTCCGTGTCATGCTACAGACCTCTTGAAGATTATCCACCACTGGTCCAAATCATTCCTTAACACGATCATGCCCTTTACATTTTGACACGTTTTTTTTCTACTTGTCAAAAAGAAAAAAAATAAAATAAAAGTGAGGAACAATACTGTTGTTTCGATTTGACATGGCAGAGCTTGACACAAAGAAGACGCTTCCTTTCACTCATCACAGACACGCACACACTGGTGCAACTTGCACTGACATAGAAGCATCCTTCCCGTGACTCGCACCAAACGTCCACAAAAGCAGGATTGCAAGGAATGTGGAATTGGGATTGGATTGACAGAGACTCCACGCCATCTCCAGTTTTCAGGTGTTTGGAACACTTGGTCCACCTCGTCAAACCGCCTTACCAAGTGTGCAACCATACCATACCACCTTTTTGGGAAAACGTAGACAGAAAATTCACATTATAGAAAATTGTTTTACACTGAACTTAGGAACATTTCCCAAAAACATGTATTATTGTAGACATAAATCAAAGTTTTGTCCCTCTAGATGATTTTAGAATCACTAGCTTTTTGCACGTTTCTAGAGCTCCCACATCATGATAGCATTAGGGTTTGTTACGGAGAAATCTTTGGTGTGGAACGAATATATCTGTTACCCGGGCCAGCAAAGCATCGTGTTCATCGAGGGTTATGTCATGCTACAGAGCCGACGATATTATCATCCACCTGGTTTAGAACTACTCGTCCAAATCATGCCCCCGTTAGCTATTGCGCGAAACACGAGCATGCGTTTTTATGTTGCAAGTAATGAGACATCAGCTTTCAGGTCCACTGTGGCTCTGATATGACACAGCAGAGCGAGGATCAACTTGCACTGACACACAAGCATCCTTCTCGTCGCTTGCACAGCCAAACATCTCATGAAATGAGGGTTGGGAGAGGATTGAGAGTCCGATTTCACCTTTCAGGTGTTTGAAAACTCGTCACCTGGTCAAACACTCAATCCAAACAAACTACTTCTGCCCAAGTGTTCCACAAAAAAGAGAACACGCTACACTTGGACTTCCTCGCCACTTTTCTCTCTAAATTTCTTATCAATATCCATTTCCATCTGTCGCACATCACATCCACTGGTTCATAAAAACACGAAAAGAGGGTCACTTGGCTGCCGCACTGTAACTACACTTTTCGTTACAGCACTGACCGACAACACTCAAGCTGGCGAAAGCAGGCGTTCTCCAACTTGTTATACTTTTTCTTCTGCCTTGATAGGTTTCACTCTCCGATTCAAAGGGCGGTGCGAGGAAAGAATCTTTTGACCCAAGCGATTTGCACAGTCAAACCAACTCTCCTCGTTCTTCGTGGGGGTTTCCTCGCCAAGATCGGGATGGTTTCGCAACAGGAAAGGTCTCCACAGCGGTGGAGGTTTGTCACACAGAAAATGATGGTACTGGAAGCATGAGTGTGTTGGATCTAGATGAGTGTGCGACTAGTGTATGTGATCGATGCCGTGGAGCCATTTGCGCCGACAGGCATGGAAGGGATGGATCCACAAAGAAAAGGACAGTCTCTGCGAGCTCCACAACGCTGCCCGACCTCCTGGCTCCAACTTCACAGGAAATGGAGTCATAATGGTTTTTCCTTTTTTTCCTTTCTTTCTTTGATTCAGAACTTGCTTTCAAAATCTGCAGCTCGCAGGTCAGGTCAATTGCTTGTCATTCTCCTTCTTCCTGAGGGACAGACAGCCTTGCAATTTATTCTAGCACACGCTCACGGAAACATGTAAGTCTGGCCTGGGTGGTGGTCGACCAGGAAAGTAACAAAAGATGACTTTTGTGTGAGAGTGTTCTCTAGAAATTCTTGTGTGCGCCATTCAGAGAGAAAGCTAATTTCTGAAAGCTTTTTCTCTTTTCTTCTTTGTTATTCTTTTCATGTTTTTCTTTATCTAAACAGCATGTAGATAGATAGATAGATAGATTGATATATGGATTATGGAAAATGAAGACATGGAATGATTTGGGACGTGCCACCTTTTGGAAACAAGGCAATGAAGAAAAAAAGGGAGTGGAGGAAAAGAAAATGCACTTTTTTTTACAGCGTCCCATGTGTTGGTCAAAATGCTGACCGACAAGAGCTACTTGGAACTGATGTGATCACGCCACGTGTAGTAGATTCTCTCCCCGTGGTGGCCCGCCGCCATTGCCATGTGTTTCATTCAAATGCTATATCCTCAACTTGCCACGACATTCCACACGCACTTCTGTGATTGGCTACCCAAAAATATTTCCTTCAAACCAAAATTTCAAAAATATGTCGGAGGTAGCATATTCCCTGGGTCCCCCTTGCTTTTCAGTTATATCAGTTATGGACGTGAATCTCCATTTTAAAAAAAGCAAAAACCCTAGATAACATACTAGTTTTAAAAAAAGCATTAAATGCGGTATTTTGTCACATGCACGAGTTAAGCATCTCCATGCTTTGTTCACATGGAGGGGGGTGGCGGCCTTGCGTTTGCGTGGTTGTAGTGGGCAAGGTGGAAATTGCTAAATTCAAGCAACAACCAAGCGTCAGAGCAGGAGCTCTCCCGGCCTAAATCAGTGCAACATCTCCATTCTAGATTCTTCCAATTTCTCTGTAAGGGCCGTGGATTATAGCCCACATGGAGGGGCGGTGACGGCATGGGAGACCAAAATCCCCGCTCACCTCCGTTCTGAGCCCTAGACATTTCAGCATCACGCATGCATGCATATCTTGTCAGGCTCTGGGCAAAGTAGATGCAGATGCGGCAGAAAATGTCGTTGTCTGTTTCTGTTTCCATGCTGCGGCTTGCTTGCTGTGGCACATATAAGACATTTAGTCGGGTGGCCGCCAAGCAAGAGGTCCTCTACGAAGCAGAAAAGGTGGTGGCGGCAGGAATGAAGGCAAAAGTTGCTGCAATTTGAATGTGGGGATGGTCAGATTTATTGCTAGTCAAACATGATGATGATATAGTTTAAGTGGATGAGCATCTTTGAACTCGTTAAGTTGGTTGTTGTTTTGCTGTTGCTTGCTATAAAGAGGGAGTTCGCAGGAGGTAGTTTGTCGGTGTTTGTGAATCTTAATTCAATAAAAAGGTGAATCTTCTGAAATCCAGAACTAGAAAAAAACTTACATGGTTTTATAGATCCTGGCCAATCTGCCCCATCAATGTTGATGGCAATGTGATAGCTGCCCAGAGGGCATGTGGGTGGAGAGATTTTATTAGTACTAATCCATGTTCTTGGCCTTTGTTGAAAGTTTTCCCTCCCCAATCATCGTGATCCGATGTTCTTCCAACTCAAGTCAAGCCCAGGGGAGGTTGCAGTTTGAACATGGCGGCCTCCACTAGTTTACAAATTCAAATGAATCAGTGTTAGATTTCCAATAACTTCCATGTGATGCTTTCCTGCACGTTTTATTCTTTTCCCAAAGAATTTGAATTCGCCCTGATTAAGATCTGTTTACTGTACCAAGCAAGACTTTCAAACATTTTGACCATGAAAGAACCATCCCACTGCACCGACCTCGGGTTGGGACGAAGGTGGCCGGATGGACAACGTGTTTGCTGCACACGCCAATCCAGGAAGCGCCCAAATTCTTTCGGAAGAACATTGCTTGAATGAAACATCTTTGTATGCATACACATTTGTGAGCCCCCGTACATCAGAAGCCAACGTGAAGCATGTGTAATTTTCTCATACACCTAAGAAAAAACAAAAACACAAAAGGGGAGCCGCGCTAAAAGATTTTGCGATCTCGTCTCCTTTCACTGTTCTCACATCACTTGACAAATACGTGACCCCGGCCCAAGAACCCTATAAAGCAAGATCAAAACTAATCCACCAGGTTCGTTGCACGGAATCCCTTTAACGAGATTACCACACATGGATTCTCCAGGGGAAGGAGTTGATCTCAACGTTTTTGTCCAAGAACTTGATCTTTGTCCAGGAGAAGTTGTCTAAGATCTTTCGTTGTCAGCAACAACTGAAATAGAACCAGCAGCAGCAACAACAACGACAACACAAAGTGGATTGAATTCAAACTCGGACATGAAAGCAAGGTGTTGAAAAAGCGCGTCTCCTCCAAAGAAGCCCATTATACAAATCTACCTTTTCTTTTTCCCGGAATAAAGAAGGTTATTCCTTGAGTCAACCCTCTGTCTACACCACCCAATCTCCATCGATCAATCCCAATTTCACACACAGGCGCACAACACACCATCGCATTGTCTCCAAAAACCTTCAGTTAAGCCGTGTGGGGCATCCATCCACGTGTCGTGCCGCGAGATTTCCAACTTGGCACTCTTTTTGCCCTAATCCTCCACGTATATATATATACACGCCCCTGAAGCCCACCACAACACAAAGCCCAGCGCTAAATTTTTGGCCCAGAATTCCTGGAAAGGGATATACTTGCGAGAAGAGTGAGCGAGAGAGAGAGAGAGAGCGAGAGCTCCACGGCCCTCTTCTTCGTGTTTCCTTGTTCCAGGAATTTCTAATCGCGCACAAGAGGCTTCCTTCTTAAAATTCCCCCTTGTTTCTCGTGGCTGCTGCGTAAAAAAATTTCCACCATCCCTCCAGTTGGTTGGCCAGCGAATGGTAATTTGTCTTCATCTCTTGGGAGCAGCAAACACGTATATATTGTGAGAGCAGCAGAGCCCTGGTTTGTTCTTGTCGAATTCTCGCCAACTCCGAGAAATCTCTTCCTTTTCCCCTCCCCCTCCTCTTCTCCCCCATTTCTCCTCTTCTCCTTCCTTCGATCGTCCCATGGCAGCAGCCATGGAATGCAGCAGCAGGGGGATCACGAGCTTGATGATCGCGAGCTCTGCCTCGTCCTCTTCCAGCTCCTCGTCTTCGTCTTGTTTCACCTCCAGGCGCCAAATTCACCACAGCCTCTGCTCCAGATCGCGGCTCCAAGCCCAATTGCCCAAGGGGACGATCAAGAGGAGCGCCAGGAGAGGGATCCAGGCGCATTTAATCGACTGCCCACCATCGCCATCGCCATCGCCCCAGGAATCCAGCAGCTCCCCTCTGGCCAGTCTCCTATCAGCGGCGGCGGCAGCTCCATCCATCGAGGATTGCATCCAAGCGCTCGAGGCGAGCATCACACGGGCAATCTCCATCGCCCCCAAGTCATCGCTCTCGTGGGACGACATTCCCCTGTGGAACCTTCGCGAATCCTTCACAAAGCCGGGGCAAACGCCAGGGATCGCGATCGAGCAATGGAAACCCGCCCAGAAGATGGCGGCGGGAGCACTAGACTGGATCGAGCAGCGCGTCATCCCCATCCTGGAGGGCGATCACCTCCCCTCCACCGCCAATCCGGCTGTCCAGCTCGAGGGCAATTTCGCGCCGGTGCCTGAGTGCCCGGCCTCGGGCATCCGACTGCCCGTCACGGGCCGTCTCCCCGACGGGCTTGACGGGCTGTACGTGCGCAACGGCGCCAACCCGCGGTTTAAGCCCGTCGCCGGCCACCACCTCTTTGACGGCGACGGTATGCTCCATGCCGTGCGGCTCTCGGGCGGTACCGCCACGTACTGCTCGCGCTTCACGCGGACAAACCGGCTGTGCCAGGAGGAGCGGCTGGGCCGCGCCTTCTTCCCCAAGGCGGTGGGGGAGCTCCACGGCCATGGCGGCGCCGCCCGCCTCGCGCTCTACTACCTCCGCTCCCTGGCCGGGCTGGTGGACGCGGGCAAGGGGATGGGTCCGGCCAACGCCGGCGTCGTCTTCTTCGATGGCAAGCTCCTGGCCATGTCCGAGGACGATCAGCCCTACGCGCTCCGGATCGAGGGCGATGGCGACGTCTCCACTATTGGGCGCTACGACTTCCACGGGCAGCTCAAAGCGAGCTCCATGATCGCGCACCCCAAGAAGGACCCGCGCACCGGGGAGCTCTTCGCGCTCAGCTACGACGTGGTCAAGAAGCCGTATCTCAGGTACTTCAGCTTCGCGGCGGATGGAACCAAGCGGCCGGACGTGGAGATCCCGCTCCCCGGGGCGACCATGATGCACGACTTCGCCATCACCGACAGGTTCGTGGTGATCCCGGACCAGCAGGTGGTGTTCCAGCTCCTGCGGATGCTCCTGGGCAAATCGCCCGTGGTCTACGATCCCAAGAAGAAGGCCCGCTTTGGAGTGCTCCCGAAGTATGCCACCACCTCGGACGAGCTCAAGTGGGTGGAGGTGCCGGATTGCTTCTGCTTCCACGTCTGGAATGCATGGGAGGCGAGCGAGGATGAGATCGTGGTGCTGGGATCGTGCATGACTCCGCCCGACTGCGTCTTCAACGAGTCCCCGAATGGACACGAGGAGATGAGCAGCGTGCTGTGCGAAATCCGGCTCAACTTGACCACGGGCACGTCAACTCGGACACCCATCGCCGGGCTCAACCTCGAGGCCGGGACTGTGAACCGCCGCGTCCTGGGCCGCCAGTGCCGCTACCTCTACCTGGCGGTGGCGGACCCGTGGCCAAAGATCTCGGGCATCGCCAAGGTGGACCTCTCGCTAAAGAAGGAGAAGGCCGAGGTGGAGACCGAGGTGGCGGAGGCCGAGGTGGTATCCGACTGTGTTGTGGGCCGTCGCGTGCACGGCGAGAATTGCTTTGGTGGCGAGCCCTTCTTCGTGCCCCGGACGTCCGACCCGGACGCGGCCGAGGACGATGGCTACGTCCTCACGTTCGTTCACAACGAGAGCACGGGAGTGTCGGAGCTCCTGGTGCTGGACGCCGCCACTGACAACCTGGAGCTCCTGGCCTCGGTCCAGCTTCCGGCGCGGGTGCCGTATGGCTTCCACGGCACCTTCGTGTCCGAGGAGGAACTGGCCAGCCAGAGCGACTGATGGACGAGAGAATGCAGCGTCCATCGTCGAGAGAGGAAAGGTTTGCGAAGTTTTTCGTGGGGGGACAAGTGGAGAGCCGCTCTTGTGCATATAGCCATTGGAATCGGCCCCCGGTCCCCTCTCTCTTTCCCTCGAGCTTTTTTTCCTTGGTTTTTTTGCTTGTGTACATTAAAATGAAAACAAAGAAGATATATATATACTTTTATATATATATTTCGGTGTTTTTATCTTTGTTTTGTTGCTTTCGAGTTCGCCAGAGGCTTCTCCTGCTCGCAACAAATTGCCAAAATATCATGGGCGTGTTTTCTAGCCGAGGAGAGCCGGCCCCTTTTAAGACATATGCCCTGAATGGGTATACCCCAAAGTGGCAGCATAGCAGCCAGTCAACGTGCTCCAGGCCATGAAAATTTGGATGGAGATGAACTGGATTAGAAGCAAGCCATCTCCTCACTTCCCTTCCGTGGATCTGAGTGGCCTTTTTTACAATTTTCTTCAATTCTCACTGAGAATTCCAAAACGAGGGAGAGAGGAAAATGCAACTATTGTCTTCTTCCCTCTCCTTCTTTTGGCATTTAAAGCTATGGGTGTTGACCAGTTTCGGCACAGGATTCCTGCTACAAACTCGACAAGAAGCCAAGAACGCTCTCCAAAGATCTATTGGGCATTTGTTTAAGCATCACCCATCTCCATATATTTTACGGTTTAGGTTAGTGAAGCGTGTTAGAAAAATGCCCTCGCGCCCCTCGCGACGCATTGTTTAATCGCCGACTTTGAGCACCACAGATGCCACTTGGCTGGATCTTGGTCCACACTTGGGGTGTGAGCAAATCGAGCTCGCCAAAGGCTGAGTGCTCCGAGCATGATCTGTGACATTCAACTCGTACGGAAGTGTCGCCCTCCCGGAGGCGTACGTCGAGCCCCGGAGTATCCGATCGTAGCGATTCTATCAAATAGCTTAAGTATTCCTATGCAATCACGCAAAAAGTACTTAGAGATCGCAGACAACAAGACAAGCACACACAGCGATGGTGTGACTACCTTCTAATCCGATGACATGGTCTGAATCTCTACCTTGCAAAATTATTGGTATTGCTAGTGGCTTGGATTGGATTTACCACAATACTTTTCCTAATAAAATTACAATTAAAATTTAAATTTAGAAGTAAAAATTAATTTATAATATTGTATATAGTATGCGTGTCTCGCCGGAAGTTTTACAGCAAACCTTAGTACATTGCCTCGTCCAATCAGCGTGGTTTTCTTGGCGAAGAGAAAGACCTGGGTGTAACACTGTTAGCAGGTTGGTCAAGGCAAGCAAGGAGACCTCGAGACGAGAGAAGAGAGGCGGGCTACAAGCAACCCTGGGACATGGTACTCTTAGTTGCAATCTTTCTCCACGCGCTAGAGATGGAAAAGTAAAACTTCCATAGGCAACTTTGGAATCGTGTTCAAGTGGTAGCGAGACACTGGTGCAGTGATGTGCAGTCCTACCAAATGGCACGACCTTGGTGTTCTTGATTTAGCATGGAAAGTTTTATTCGTTTTTTTACCTTTCTATGTTTGTTTTTCAACTGTTGCTCGATTTGATGCGATCGATCAATCAACCCATCCGGCCAAAGGGAGACGCACAAACATTCGCCACGGTTTATATTCGCACCTTTGCTGCGTAAGCTTTCTCGTCGGAATACCTGGACCTCGAGGGCAGCAACTATGCAACTTTAAGGGGGGGGGGGGGAA